GTGTGTGTGTGTGTGTGTGTGTGTGTGTGTGTGTGTGTGTGTGTGTGTCAGCCAGGGACCCTCTGGCCACATCATTGGTGTGTGAGTCAGCCACAGCCTGCTCATACATGCACCCTGAGCTGCCAGCCCCGGTGCACTTTTTTTGTTTGATTCTCTCTCACACACACACACACACACACACACACACACACACACTGGGTCCAGGTATCCCGTAGGGAGCAAGAGAACGCCACAGCTCACCTGTCTGTTTGAATATTGTCAGTGACTGCTTATGTTTGGATTTCGTCCACTTCAAAAATGCAAGGCGTGTCCTGCAGATTCGGAGGTCCTTTTTCAGGTTGACCTGTTTAAAAAAAAAATAGTCGAGACAAGTTCCCTGTGATCCCCCTCCTCATTCCCATCAAATGCAATCATGGAGAAAAAGAAATATATCCCAAATTTAGTTATATTGTTTTCTGTACCAGGACATGGATTCACCTTGTCCTTGCGTGGTCTTGAATATACAAGCTCAGATGAACAACTTGTGACATATTATTAAACCTTATCAATGCTTATTTGGCTAAGATTTAGCTGAAAGGCAGAAAAACAAAATAATTAGTACGTCCTGTTTTGAAAAAGTTTGTAGAGGCGCCATTTTGCACTAACATTTTGAACAGTAGTGGGCGCAGCTAAACAAAAAGTTAGCTTCACTAACCATTAATCCACTAATCAAGAATCTTAGCTATGCTAATGCTAATGCTAACTAAGACAAAGGAACTGATGCAAACCTGTTAGTTTTCTATTGGTTTAATTGGAAGGTGGGTGGAATCGTTTGTGRCAAGTCGGCCAGTCCAAACCATAGATTGACATTATAGTTCTGTCTAATTTGTGATACTTCTAGTTTAACCCTTTCAAAATAAAAATGTCTGTGATCAAGTTTGTATTTTTATAAAWACTGTTTGAAGTTAGTCAATCAACAAAATACGTTCACCACCATATTTTATATGTAGTCATTTTTTGTATTCTTTAAATATTACTAAATATTATTTAATTTATTTTTGACACTATTAGTTTGAATCTTAGCTGCTAAAGATGCTACATGCTACATACATGGTGCCTAACATGTACAGCACTGCTCGAACCCCAATTTTTAGTGGACTTAAAATGAGCAAAAGCTAATTTAGTGGAAGCTAATCRATTTGCCAGCAGTTCCCATAGTTAGCAAAACAAGCTTAAATGAGAAGCTAGTCCCACTGTTAATGGGTTAACAAAACTGTTCCCACCACTGGTTTTGAAGTTGGACTTTTTAAATTTCTCACATATTGGAATTGTGGCCTGTTGTGTAAAATTCATTTTCAATTAAGGTTATATATTCACATCTCTTCTAAGGATCAAGGATTTTCTGTTAGGTTGACATTTAGTTGAATATTTCATCACAAGATTGTAGATTTGCTGCAGGGTTTGAGGACATTCTGCTGTTTTTGTCCAAGTTTCGTTTGACAGCTGGACTCATGTTTGTCACCAGAACACTTTGTTTTGCTTTAACGTTAATAATCAACAATGACTTCTACCACAAAACAAGCCCAGATCACYATACTTCTTACACCATTGTTCACAGTCGGTAAAACATGTTTGTGCTGATATTTTTTGTCTGGTTCTTACCAACCATTTCCACTTTCATTTAGCCTCTAAAGGACTTTGGTCCAATGTCTGGTGGTTTAAGATGCAACAATTTAAATAGTTTTGGCAAAACTTCCAATCAGGCCACACTTTTCTTCTTTTTTWAATTCTAATTAACATCTGAAGAATCTGAGAAGTGGCTTGTTTTGGTTTCCTGCGACATTCCTTCAATGATTCTTAATATTCTTCCCAGACTGATGCCTAACAGTTGTCGCTTTGCTGAAACAATGACTGGTATTTGTCTTTAACACTGGATTAACATGTTTACATTAAATGCTTTAAAAAGCTCACACTTGCTGGAACTTAAAATTTTCCGTAATAATGAGACGGTATAGTATGTCACGTTTCTGTTCAGCTGAGCTGTTTAACCCAACGTTCAGACCTGTAAGGACCATATAATTTTCATTTATTTATTCTTTTATTATCTTGTAAGCTGAAGGTTCACAACACAGAGTGTACATACTTTTTTTTTTTTTTGGGGGGGGGGGGGGGGTTACCAGAATTGTAAGTTCTGTGGTGTTGCTGTAGTATACAGCTAAAGAGTTATTTTGTTCCATGTTTGAGCAGAGGCAGTTTATGTATGCACTTTGTTACAGGAGAGGGCACTTCCGTCTACAAAACGGGTACTTTAAAACAAATCAGTTGCAAATGAGATCAGTTCTTTTTTTTTTTCGGTCCGTGGTGAATTTTTAGTTCTTCGGTGAGGCTTTTTATAACAAATTTCCACAAAACAAAACAAAAAGCTTCAGTGTGTAAATCTGGTTTTAAAAGATGATTCCATGCAGCTGAATGCACTTGAAGCTAGTTGTCAGTGATTGTCTTCATGTCTTAATATAAAATCAGTGGACAGGAGGAGAAGGTGGAGGCAGAAGAAAGGGCACTTTAAGTGTTTGTGTATTTATTTTCAGGTTTGTTTTGGGGCGTTTGCGTGTACTCCTGACCAGTAGGCTGGAGGGTCTCAGGACAAACATTTGTGTYGATACCCCCAACCGTTTGTGAGTTGTTCTCAAAACTACACAGGTCCTTACAGGAACCGTAGTGTCAGCAGGTCCACGGTACCACAGAAAGCAAAATGTCACTTGGCAGAACAGGTTCACATCTCTCCTGGTACAGGTGTTTTGGCTCATTTACACTCGTCGTTTGGGGTCGTCTTAATCATTTTTAATTTTATTCCCCCTTCTGTCATACAGGATTGCACAGTTCGACTCTAAGAGTTGGGTCTCTGGTCTTGATTTGTTGTGGTACTTGGACTTCTCTAACCCACTTTGTCTTAATGTGGCGAGTTTTTTTTTTTTTTTTAACCTGGCAAGACCAGTGAGCCATCTTAATGTGGATTTTAAGATTTCCTTTTTGTTTGTTTTTTCATTAAAAACCAAAGCTTTTTGTTCTCCGAGTCTTCTGCAGACGATATAGAAAATGTGTCAATGATTCCTCCAGTCTGGGCTTCATGACTAACTCGTCTTACATCTGCRGAAAAATGTGTTTTGAAATCAAACATTTTTTTACTTGACTTCTCTTCCTCTCGATCTCTTGTGAAAAACCGAATCAAAGGTTTAAAAGATGCATAGCTTTTGTTTTCTGTTTGACTAAGCTTGTTTTTACTTCAGATGACTTGTGCTGCAGCTGTTATGCATTTGTGTGTGTGTGTGTGTGTGTGTGTGT